ACGCACACGCACACACACACACACACACACACACACACACACACACACACACACATCAGCCATATCCGGAGGAACAGGATGTAGTGGTGCCTTGACTTACCAGTGACCTGATTAAGAGTTTTATTAAATTTTTTTTAAATATGAAATTTGAGATAGAAGCGCAAGATCAGGGGTCTGATCAGGTGGCCATTTGCGGGCTGCAGAATAGTATTTTGCGGCCTTTTTTGCTATGTCGTTGCCTAAGGCCATTTTTGTTAAACCACTTATGGACTAGTTTAGCTCATCTCAGGAAAGCTTTCGGTGAAACGCAATGCAAATGCGAAACACCATATCATTATGGTGGCAGCAAACGTAGATAGACTATATGACGATACTCACATGCATATATTCTTCATCCTTTGCTAAAAACAACTATTATTACGGCATCTGAATGATTCATTTACTCCTGCAAGTTTTTTTTGTTTGTTTCTCTATGTATTAATCTGTCCCTTGTTGGCCAAAGTGCACACACCAACCGTAGCACAGTGGAGCTGGAACGTAAAAATGGCATTTCCATTCATTTCAACAGGTAATTTGAGTTTTGAGTTATGGCGTGGTCATGGAACAAAATAAACCCGTAAGTCAAAGCACCACCTGGTATATATTAAAAAGTTAAAGCTCACTGTTGAGATCGCAGCCCAGTAGTTCCATTCGCAGTGCAGGGCTCCGCACAAAGCTATCAGGCTGAATCCTGACGTAGCGAGCCACAAAGGGAGGGGAGAACTGGTTATGCTTCACTGTGGAGCTGTCCATGTTTCCGTAAAATTTCTAAAACAGAGTCACAGAATCCGTTAGATTCACGGAAGAAGTTGGTCTGACTTTTTTTTTTTTTTGACAAGGTCATTGCTTGAAAGGCAGATCAACTGAAAACAAGACGTCGCCACTGATAATGAAAGCAGCTACATTCATCCATCCATTTTCACCACCGCTTATCTTGAACAGGGCTGCAGGGGTGCTGGAGCCTATCCCAGCTGACTTTGGGCAAAAAGCGCACCACACACTCAATTGGTCACCAGTCGCAGGGCACATATCGAGACAAAAAAACCCATTTACACCCACTTCCACACTGCACACCAGTTAGGCGAGTGTACCACTACGGTACACCATCAGTGACTTCTCAGTTACATTCATATTAGCCTTATTTCTGAAAAGTGAAAATACAATATCGTAACTCATGATTAGGTGAAAATTATGACATTCATGGGCATTGTGGGGATTTCGCACATTGGGGTAACTCATGTTGTTCCCTTGGTAGGTTGTCCACAACCACTGGTCCAGGCTGTAGGAAACGATAAATAATGACACGTAGTTGTCCCTCAGGCTTGCCCTCACTCCCTGTGTCTCAATGCCATGCAGCAGAGTCGGCTTCAGAAGGTCCACCTGATAATACAGCAATGATAAAGAATAAAGAGAATGTTATGCACACTGATATTGTAAAACACTCAGTGAACAGGAAGCGCACTGGTCACAGGATATAGCTGTTAGAATGGAAATGGTTGACAGCATGGGCAACAGTGCATGTCCAACCTGTATCCAGGAGAATGAGTCTCTACCCATCCAAGCATTGATATAACCCGACTGATGCAGCCTGGCCAAATGGGGCTCCCAACTATCTGGACACATGTGCAAACATAGTCAGCATCAAATGTACAGTCATAGCTCAAACAATGCAGGTTAGTGTCAAGGTTATTAGATGCACTTCCTCTCAATGTAAACCCCAAACTGAATAGAAATAAAACATATTACAAAAATATTATTTAATTATATACAAATAAAAAAAAAAACATGATTTACCTGCGTGATTTGAATCAGTGATCTGCGAATCCTGGATGCTACCGGATTTCATTCCCAGAGGTAAATTACAGGCTGCATCAAGGAAATAAATATCAGACAATGAGATAATCTGCTGGGTTTTTAACGACATATATGCACAGACCCTTGCCCTCCAAAACATTAGGAGTGGTACTTCATCGAATGGAAATCCATTACGAGTAAGTTTGCAGTTTGCAGTTTCGATTGTCACTGTCACCGCATCATACTGAGAGCGTGCCAACCACATTTAGATAACGTTACCAAAATATGAGGATCACTAATGGAGCTCTGGGTACATTTTGTTCGAACATGAATCCTGTCCTATTATTGGTGACCATACATTTCAGGAAATCCAATGTTTTCAATTGAAATAAATATTAAAAAAAAAAAGCACACTGTAGTGCGGAGTCCAAATGAAATATGGCTAGAATATTTTCGGGAAACAGCAAACATGCTACGTTCTTAAAGTTGAAAAGCAAGGCATGCTTTTTTTTCACCAC